CTCCTCCAATAAGGAATGGTCCAATTGACCTAATTTTACCGGGCACGTATTTGGGCCTCGTTATAAAGCGTCTGTGACTCAGAGGCCAACGCAGCAGGCTAAATACTAAACGCTAATAAATGTATATCTCCCAACTTTGACCCGAAACACTGCGACAATTAGCTCAAGCCACATTATTCATGATTAACTTGGAGCCGTGTCAGTCCCGCAGCGCTGAAAACGAGTCTGCACGTGTCATGTTGCCACAATGCAACTAGACGCTGTCAGAGGGACTGACACCGTATCATTAATGATTAAGAGGACGAGTCCATTTAAAGGTGTGATGTAATTCTCTAATTGGTAGAGGGGTGGACGTAATTAGATCAGTGTTCGGGAGGAGTCCGGCTGCGGTGCCGCCCACTGCGAGCCGCTGACTGACAGACGCAGCTGAACACCTCTCACACAGGGAGCGGTATGAATCTTTTAAAATACATTTTAGTTTATTTTATTTGTTCATTTTCTGCAGGTAGGACGATAAAGGAAACCGACCACACTGAAATAGGAATGAGACATCAGGGCCTGCTGCGCACTGCATCCTTTTTCTTTCCAAGAACATTTAAATAAATGCTTTCTGTAATTTAATACCATAGAAAATAACATATTTAAAGGCTCATATCCATTTTTTTTTTTTTTGCCTGTTAGCCAGCCTGATTTGTAACCAGAGCTCCATTTTCACATTTTCTTTTCGTTTTAATAATTTTTTTGAGGAGATTATTTTTTATCTGCTGTGTGCTGCTCAGGCCTCACTGAGGCTTTCAGCTCAGTCCATTACTGGCTTTAGTAACTTTTGAGGGAAAAAGAAAATCATTGATTCACTGAAGGTGTGATGATGTTATTTTTCTTCAGTGGTTATGCAGCTGACAGTTTTAGAGAGGTGTTGATTTCAGCTTTTGGCTAGTTTTCTAATACTTTCTCCATCTCATTTCTAGGAAACAGTTCAGACTAAATAATAAAACCATCTTTCAGTGATGTAACTCAGTAGATTCAAAACACACTTCCTTGAAAGCAGTTTCCAAAAACTGTAAGAATTATTGCTCACTGAGCTTTTCTTTCTTTCTTTCTTTCTTTCTTTCTTTCTTTCTTTCTTTCTTTCTTTCTTTCTTTCTTTCTTTCTTTCTTTCTTTCTTTCTTTCCTTTGACCTGCTGTTCCCTACATAACCTGAGGCATCATCCACTAAAAATTATAAATAGAAATGATATTAATGGAAATTAATAAAACAAAACTAGAAAATATAACAAATGATCATACATTTTAAGAGGAAGACAGACATTTTGTTTTAATCTGTCCTGAATTTTTGAGAAACACCAGTGAAAGTAGCTGTCCAGTTATGTAGACGGATGGAGAGAATGTGACAAAAGGGAAGAAAATGTAATCTTGAAGGATGAATAAGATATTTTAATCTTGATGGGAATTTTTCACAAATACGCATGAATAATACACACAGATAAAGGACTGTCATATTCTATCTGAACCACTCATAACTGAACCTTACAGCCGTTTGTCGCCATTCATGGGTCACAAATTTGAGCCAGCTTGGTACAGATGTTTTTTATTCAACGTTTCAGGTTTTTAATGTGAAGTCTTGGTGAAAGAAAAGTGGCATATAAAATAATAATAAAATTAAAAACAACAACAACAACAACAAAAACAACCTTGAAATGAAATATTAAATCTGCAGCACATAAAGTGAAGTTTCCCTTTTTATATTATTATTATTATTATTATTATTATTATTATTATTATTATTATTATTATAAAACACTGACAAAGGTTTTGTGCAAAAGCAGTTTTTCCTCATACACAAATACAGAAAAACAACACAAACCAAAAAGACATTTCATTCGGTTTGTTGTCTTCCTAACATCTACCCTGCAGCCTCTTCTCAACCTTCTTCTACATTTGAAGGAATTGTACTCAGATACTCAGTTAGCATTACTGGCAAGTACTGTGTGAAAACAAGCGTGTGATTTGCGTGGAGGCTCTGCGAAAGCTTCGACTCTCAGCTCCACTGTGACCTCCTCCAGTGGGGGCCACCAGCCGAGGAACAGCCGAGACAAACTTCAAGTCCAAAACTCTCGAGGGAAGCATTCTGACAAGCTGACTTAATGCAGAGACTGAACTGTGAGATTTTTTTTTTCTGCAAAGAGAGAAAAAAAACAAAACAAAAGGGGGCTGGGCGGTAAGGTGGGGCGAGAGAAAGTGTTGAGAAACAATGAGAGGGCTGGGAGTCTCAGTGACTTATGTAAAAATCATTAAATCATACGCTAGGACACGGGTATGAAAAACAAAAGCTGTGTTTGGGATTCATTTATGCCGAGCCCCCACATCTATAAAGGGAACTGAGAAATGAACGTCTCCATTACAGAAATATTGACTCAGTATAAAATAGGATGCGCTGAAACAAGACAACAAATATTTATTCTATATTTTTCTTTGTCCCACATGGTCCACACCACACAGAGCCAAACAGAGCTTTATCTCCGGTGTCAGCTTGGGTGCATTGTGTGCTGTGTTTGCACTGTGTTCTCTCCACCTCTTGTCAGGTGTTTTAAATGGAGAATTTAAGGGCCACTTTATCTTAGATGGGTAATAGCCAATTTAACATCTGGTGACAAGAATTTAATCATCTCTCCTCTTAGGTTACATTGATAATTAAAGGGCGATGTCAACATCTGGGTGTGCTGCTTTGCTACTTGCACACTATTGATTGTGGGGAATGAATGCTGCTTTTATGGGAAACTGACACAATGAGTAAATATCCACATATTATCCTTTAAACTTTTAAAAGCACTGAG